GACGGGGTTTCATCGTGTTGACCAGGATGGTCTCGATCTCTTGACCTCGTGATCCACCCGCCTCGGCCTCCCAAAGTGCTGGGATTACAGGCGTGAGCCACCGCGCCCGGCTTAATTTTTGTATTTTTAGTAGAGGCGGAGTTTCCCCATGTTGGCCGGGGTGGTCTCAGACTCCTGATCTCAGGTGATCCACTCACAGCAAGCCTTTCAGTGTTGGGATTACAGGCATGAGCCACTGCGCCCAGCTGAGTATCTTAATTCATTGTGTAAGACATGGATATATACAGTAAACTCAGTTCTCAGCGTGGGCTAGGCAAACCCCCCTCAGCTTATAAATTGTTTCCTAAGGTTTCCATGAGTACCTCCAACCAGCAGAAAAATGATGGGTTTTCCTGGTTACCTTTCATTCCAAGCACTTCTTTCTCAGGGTAGGCATTTGAGACCTTTCTGACCAGGTCCAATCTACACACGCTGATGATGTTACCAACTTGGCATCTGACCTGCCTACCCTTCAAAAGGTCTGTGGAGGGAGGACACGGTCTACTTTGGCACATAATTATCTTCCCAATTGTTGGGCATGGTGGCTTACACCTATAATCCCAGCACATTGGGAAAGAGTGGGGAGGATTGCTTGAGGCCAGTTAAGACTAACCTGGACAGGGTCTTGCTCTGTCACCCAGCTGGAGTGTGATCATGGCTCACTGCAGCCTTGACCTCTGGGCTCAAGGGATCCTGCCACCTCAGACACCTGAGTAGCTGGGACCACAGGCACATGCCTCCATACCCAGCTTATTTTCTTATTTGTAGTCAAGGTACCCTCAATATTGCCCAGGCTGGTCTCAAAAGTCCTCAGAACATGGCATCCCAAAGTGCTGGGATTATAGTATGAGCCACATTGACTTACCTTTTTTTTTTTGAGACAGTCTCTCACTCTAGTCTCCCAGGCTAGCGTGCAGTGGCACGATCTTAACTCACTGCAACCTGTCTCCTGGGGTCTAGCAATTCTTCTGCCTCAGCCTCCCAAGTGGCAGGGATTACAGGCATGCACCACCATGCCCATCTAATTTTTATATTTTTAGTAGAGATGGGGTTTCCCTATGTTGGCCAGGCTGGTCTTCTGATCTCAAGTAATCCGCCCACCTTGGCCTCCCAATGCTGGGATTACAGGCCACCGCAGCCCAGCCCAAGTTTTGAACTCTAATACCAGATGTCAGGGACTATACTGGGCACTGAAGATGTTTTAAAGAGATGGGACCGGGTGTGGGGCTCACGTTTGAAATCCTAGCGCGGACAGACTGCCCGAGGTCAGGAGTTCGAGACCTCCCTGACCAATTCTGATCAGAACAGCCTAACATGGTAAACCCCCCCTCTACTAAAAATACAAAAAATTAGCTGTTGTCGTGGCACATGCCTATAATCCCAGCTACTCCAGGTGCTGAGGCAGGTGAATTGGTATAAACCTAAGAAGCAGAGGTTGCAGTGAGCTGAGGTTGCATCATTGCACTCCAGCCTTGGGCAACAAAAGCAAAATTCCATCTCAAAAGTTCAATACTTGGATGAATAAAAGCAGTTAATGACTAGATATGGTGAGATGACTATTCCGTCACCTAGTGAAATGAGGAAATACTAGGGATAATGAAAGGCTGTTTGATGTTTATTTCCACCTTGCGCTCAGGACTGAGTTAAAGTACTAAGACACTGAATGACGTCCCTCAGGGAATATGTAACCAGACTCCAGGACCGAGACACACAAGTGCTGGTGGCGGTAATTCACACAGAAAGAACCAGCCAGACAATAAAACAAAAATTGCAGAACACACCAAGTGATTAAATCTGACACCCTTAGGATAGGCAAATTTGATTGCTGTGTTAAAAACCCTAGAGGTCAGTTAAGGTGGGCATTTGAGAGCTTTTCAGTTTAGACTGTCCTGACATACTGTTCAGCCTATACATCTAATTGCCAGCACTGCGTATTTAATTTCACGAAGAGTCAAGTCCTCAATCAAGGGAAGGCTATCCCTTTGACCAGATTACCACCACTGTTGAAGCTTAAGCTTTGTTACAGAAAAAGGCTGGGCACAGTGGCTCAACAACAGTTTGGGAGGCTGAGGCAGGAGGATCAGCTGAGGTCAGGAATTTGAGACCAGCCTCGCCAACAAGATGAAACCTCATCTCTGCTAAAAACACAAAAATCAGCTGGACATAGTGGTGCAGCATGCCTGTATTCCCAGCTACTCAGGAGGCTGAGAAAAAGAGAATCACTTGAACCTGGAGGCAGCAGTTGCAGTGAGCCAAGATTGTGCCACTGCACTCCAGCCTAAAAAAAAAAAAAAAAAAAAGCTATTAGCAGATTTCTCCATTTGTCACACTAATCATTTTTTTTTAAGATGGGGTTTCACCATATTGGTCAGACTGGTCTTGAACTCCTGACCTCAGGTGATCCACCCACCTCAGCTTCCCAAAGTGCTGGGATTAAAGGCGTGAGCCACCGCCACGCCCAGCCACACTAGTCAAGAGAACACCTCTAAATGCATAAACTCATTGAACACTGGTCCAACCTCTTATGTCTGGCTCCTTGCTTTTCCTGCCTCTGCCTACCTTCAAGAGATGGGGTCTCACTCTGACACCCAGGCTGGAGTCAGTGGCATGGTAATAGCTCACCACAGCCTTAACTCTGGGCTCAAGCAATCCTCCCACGTCAGCCCCCTCAATCAGCTAGGACTACAAGCATGTACCACCAGGACAGGCTAATTATTTTTTGTAGAGACAGGGTGTCACTATGTTGTCCAGGCTGATCTTGACTCCTGGCCTCAAGTGATCTTCTGTCTCAGGTAACATACAGGCAGTGAGCCACCACGTCCAGCTGCTGTTTACATTTTCAACATTCCACTCAACAAACATTGAGACTGCCTGGGTCTGGAAAAGTTAAAAAAACAAAACCTAAGTACTATGTAGAATTAAGCAAACAAATGATGTTTCAGAAGTCGCCTACTACTGCTTAAAATAACACCTACATCAACACCCTAACTCAAACAAGGACAGACAATTGTTATTTAGTCTTTATTTCATAGTCATAAACTTAACCCAACTCTGCAATCCAGCTAGGCATGGAAGGGAACAAGGAAAACATGGAACCCAAAGGGAACTGCAGCGAGAGCACAGATTTTAGGATACTGCGAGCAAATGGGGTGGAGGGGTGCTCTCCTGAGCTACAGAAGGAATGGTCTGGTGGTTAAGATAAAACACAAGTCAAACTTATTAAAGTTGTCCACAGTCAGCAATGGTGATCTTCTTGCTGGTCTTGCCATTCCTGGACCCAAAGCGCTCCATGGCCTCCACAATATTCATGCCTTCTTTCACCTTGCCAAAGACCACATGCTTGCCATCCAACCTGGAAGGAGAACAATCACTGTGACTGGCAACCACAAACAAGCAGTCCCCACGTGGCATGAATCAAGACAAGGTAGCTTAAAAAGGGGGGAAAAAGAAAAAAAGATACCCAATCACATGCTATTAATAGTAACATAAAAGTAGCACTTAATTGGCCAGGAACAGTGGCTCACGCCTGTAATCCCACCACTTTGGGAGGCCAAGGCAGACAGATCACGAGGTCAGGAGACCAAGACCATCCTAGCCAACATGGTAAAACTCCATCTCTACAAAATTACAAAAAAATTAGCCAGGCATTGTGGCACACATCTGTTATTCTCAGCTTCTCGGGAGGCCAAGGCAGGAGAATCGCTTGAACCTAGCAAGTGGAGGTTGCAGTGTGCCCAGATTGTGCCACTGCACTCCAACCTGGGCAACAGAGTGAAACTCTCTCAAAAAATTAGCACTTAATCACCCAGCTAAGCACCCAGTTTCTATTACAGTATCTGACATTCTATATCACATTGGCTACATTTGTAGCTATGTATGCTCTTCTAGTATCTTAGAGATGAAAA